TGAAAAGAAAAATCTGCAGCCTAAATTATTTGAGGCACTGCTTTCCTTCCTCAGCAGGATGCTGGAATGTCCAGGCTGTGGTAGGAGCTGCTTGTATGCCACAGACATACACAGGAACATATTTGCCCTCTAATGATATATTAGGCAACGGTTTTGAGTTGGCAGGCTACTAAAAGCCCTAGCCAAACAAAGATAAAATTGTAATTTATCAACAGAGAATGCTGAATTCATGGTCACTGGTGACTGCTGGGACTGGTGGTAGCCCACAGAGCTGAAGCTGACAACATAAAGACAACAAACTCCAGTTACTGTTTGGACTTTTCTCAGCTTTGGGGGGGAAAAAAGCTGTTTGGATTTTTTCCCCTACAAATTCAAACTAGGAACAAGATAAAATGATCACCTTTCTCCAAATCCAGTATGACATAGCTCAAGCAGCAAAAGTGTATGGAAATCCTGTGATTGCAACTACCTTCTGCAGCAAGTAAAGGAATGCATGAAAACAGAGCAGTGGGGGTGCACGCAGAGAGGCTCACTGAGGAGTCAGTGGTGTGGGCTTTGGTGGCACAGACCTCTCTTTTGAGAATACGGTCCACTGCTTTTAGGACTTATGTTCTCTGAACTAGTTATTTCAGGGAGTAGGATTTTCCAAAGGCCTCATCTTCCTGTCAAAGATTTTAAGGATTCTTGCAAATATTTTATCTCAAGTATGTTGAGATACCTTTCCCAGTATTTCTTTCCATCACTTCAGATTTATGGGAACTTTGTTTCACTAAAGTAAGTGATGTTAGACACATACCAGAATGATGTTAAGAATTAGGACCTACTTTTACAGGGTTTCACAAGTCTGTGTTATTTTGATTGTCCTGAGTTAAATGTGATTTTAAATGGTGGAAATTTCCATTCCATTATGGAAATCCATGCAGTTTAAGGTGAATCAGAGGTGCAAACAGCATGGAGTAAAATCCAAGTTCCACTTTCTCTTTTCCCACCTTCCCTGTACCCTTCAATCTCCTGACTGATCTCTAGATGGAAACCAACTGTTTTTACAGCAAGGAATTCAATCTCCTCACCAGTCGTAGCATCATTGACTCAGTGATTTCTGTGAACTGGTCCAGCACCAACTAATTTCACAAAAAAAATCAGTGAACAGCTAAGAAATCACCAGAGATGCTGGCTGTTACAGACCTAGGGCAAATGTGAAGTGGAGTTCTGGAGGTGAAAGGATCTCTGCACCATTACTGACCTTCGAAATTTCCCAGTCCCAGAGGTGTACTTTCATGAGAAGAAAAAGCTGTTTCAGATCACACCAGATATTTTCTGTGCTGCCCAGCAGTTTACCTGAGGATGTTCTCCAGATGTTTGTGTTTCTATGAAACATACAAAAATAAAGTTGTAAACTGGACAAGACAATAGTGGAAATGTAAGAACAAGGGCTTTAGGGCAGCCTGGAAAAACATGAACATTAACCAGCCCACACACAAAATCAACTTGTCCTCTTTAAGAGGCCAACAAAGATGTATTTTATTTGCTTTTCCAAAGAACGGCTACTTTTCCCAGCAGGTGGGCACATACCACTTGTCATGGTTCTTATATTGCCAACAGGCAATTGTTTGTATTTTGGGGAACAGATACTCCTTTCACTTAGGCATACAAGAAGTGAGAAGTACAAGGTCTAAGCCAAGATGAAGCAACAGTTTAGACAGTTTTTATTCCACAGTGAAAAGAAAATAATAATGTGCCATTGTCTGGAAAAGTACAAAGAGCAAAAATTGAGCATGCACTGGCTAAGACATCTGCAGAGTGAAATGTCTTAACTTTTTGCAAGCTGTCTAACAAGAGTAAAACAGGACTTTGAAAATGGAAGCCTGTTGTCTTTTCTTTTCTGGAACTGTTTCTCTCTTCTGCTGCCTATATTGGCTAAGCAAAATGTCCGAGTAAACTGGTTACAAGTCCTAGGAGGTCTTTGGGGAAGGCTTCTGTGTTTTTCTTGCTTGATTTGAGCTGCTCAAGTGGGTCCCGATCCCAAAAATATGTGGACATAATGGACACCTTTTTGTTTAGTGCACTTAATACTACACTGATAGCCTGTGTAGGGATATCAGAGTGTCACCTGCCTACACTGCTTGGGGTTTGGCTGTTCCAGTGATTTCACTGGGGCATGTTCGCAGGTGTTACTTCACCTTTGTGGTTTTGTAAGTGACTGTAAAAGGAAGACAGTTGCTGGCTGCTGTCATGGCTTTGGTCTGAAAAACCCAGTCAAGCCCTGTGGTGCATGACTTCTCTTTACAACAAAGTGGGAGCAAGCCACACTGGAATGCAGGTCTTCACATATGCAAGATTAGACATTTTTGCAGGTTTATTGTGGGACCTGTAGGTGGCCTCATTTTAATAGTCAATAAAAAAAGAAGTATTAGTCCAGTTCCCCTGTGTGCTAAGCAACTTTTTGTCATATTGAACTTGGAAGCTGACAAATTTGCTTCTAGTGCCATTGAATACTCTGCCATTCATTCTATAAAAAAGTTGGTATATTTATAAAATCATTGATTGTAATGCAGAAAGTGCAAACATCTGTTTTGTTTTCATCCTTATCTCCCGTTCTAGCCCAAGCCATGGGTAAAGAACCAGAGGACTGCTGGCTGTGCAGTGACATTAGCACAGACATTTTGTAACAGAATGAACGGTAAGAAAAAATGAACCCCAAATTCTGTCAGAGAAGGTCTAACACAAATTTGATTGGGTAAATGGACTACAAAACAAGGTTAACTGAAATAAGAGTGAGACCATTCAGTACAATTGAGTACCAACATTCACATGCACACTTGGCATCATGTTTGTGACAATGCACTCTTTGCTGCCACCCCAGCAAAACCCTGACTTATGATGCTGTATTATTTTCGTGCTGTAGTCACTGTCGTAAGTTTTGAGTACTTCATAAGACACACTGGGGTTTTGTTTCAGTGTATGAGACCTGATAGAGCGTGTGAAAAAGGCTTATGATTCAAGTGCCTTTTATATACGGAAGGCGTAAAGCTACATCAACAAGAGAGTCTCAAAGCAGATGGTTAACTGGCCTTGTGTAGCTGATGCTGCCACCACTGCTTCTCCCACCCTGGGGCACCCTGGGGAACACCAGGAGCAGCTGGGAGAGTGTCTCTTACTAGAAATTTCTCTGGTTTTGAAGTGGTGGAGTACACATTTGTGTTAAGAAAAACTGCACGCCATGCACTGCAAGACACAGCCTGCCTTGAGCTGGACTGGAGCACAGAGCCATGCCCCATGTCTGCTGCCAGGACCACCAGCAAAAGGATGATTGCCTTTGGAGGTGTGCCTCAGCACAGCACCTTTGGGTGCTGACAGACTGGCCAGGTTGTGCCGGGAGCACAGGGCAAAGCCAGCACAGGGCATCCAGCTCTGCATCTCCTTTTAGTGGGTACAAGTTAGTGCCTCATTTAAGACATATCAAACTACTACAGTTTTGAGAGGGATGTACAGTGGATGGGTGGGACACAGAGTCCCAAGGGATTAATTTCTGGACTAAGAGGGATCATACTAAACTTGTAAACAGGTGTGTAGTGTGTCATCTAGACACTTGGCAATGTTTGAGAACAATTCGCAAGGGATTTAATTTCAACTCTCTGGTTCCCACAAACCTAAACATGGAAGCCAGCTTAAACACAGCCTCCTACCCCTCCCTTACACTTATCTTTTAAAATCTGCTGCAGGGCTGATTTACCAAGTGGCAATAACCTGTTGCCTGTGCAGTAGTACTCCAAACCCGCATCCTTGGAGATGAAACTTCAGCAGAAACCAGCTTGCCAGCTGCATTTCTCCACTGCAGATGGAACCTGGGCACTGCAGGGCTCCTACAACATGCTTGCCTGCAACTTACCACATCCCACACTGAATCTTTTAGAAGAGGCTAAAACTTCTGCTGAGTTAATGTATAGAGCCTTTCTCTATACATTTCCTTGCTTTGCCAAGGCCTGAGTATTTGTGATAGTCTCCTGAAAGCTGGTAGGTGCAAAGATACCTGGTACCCTGCAGTGCTGTGTCCCTGCCAGAAACCTGCTGGACATGAGGCAACTGCATACATAATACTCACAGTAAGTTAGGGGAAAGCAAAGTAAAAGCAGTTCCCTAAGACATCCTGCAGTGAAGGATGCAGAAGCGTGACATAAAAACAGATAAATAAGGAAACAGACCACAATTATTTATAAAGAAATTTATTTTATATTTGTGTACAGCAAATATATGAAAACAAATTTGATTTGAAAAATGTATATTTGATTTCTTAAAAGTATTGAACCCTCTTATGGAAAGGTTTTAGTTATTATAAAGGTACAGAAGGCTAAAATTATACTCAAATAATATATGTGTGTGTACGTATATATATATAAAAAACATGTGCAATTTTATATATATATATATAGTATATATAAATAATGTGTGACTTACATGATTTTTTAAGGTACCTTATTTAAACATCTGAGTAAAATAGAGATATAAGAAAATATAGTTTTCTACATAGTTTCTATTCTATTTCTACACAGTTTGCATTCAGCTTTTATAAGCATCTAGACAGTGCAAAATTTAAACATACAGAAATATTCTATTATTTTATACATTGTGCTCAGCTGCCACGTTTCCTCTGTCATGATCATCACCAGACTGAACCAAATTTGGAGGGTTCAATACTAGCCCTTACTAGCATCTTCTAAGAGCAATAAAGGAAATCTGTCTTACCTTGAACTGCGCTGTGCTATAGCTTGTGCACAAGAACAATGCATTTCCTATATTAAATGATCTAACTCCCAGAGATCACATACACCTCACCATATTGATTCATTTCATTGCATTCCATATCCTGCAAAAATAAATCTCCTGTAGGACAGCATACATTACTGTGTTCTGAAGCTTAAGTAATATATTTCTTTAACATAAGGCAGGAGTATACTGAAATTTGATAATACTTAAATCGTACAGCAATCTGGAATTAAACCACATTTATGTACCACATTTTTATAGATGCTGCCTTTTTAATGTTTTTTCATGTCTTTCTAATGTTGCTAAAAAAAGGCAATTATGACCATTCCATATGCTTTCACAGTAGCTACATTTTAACTGAAGGGTGTTTGAACTTTAGATAATATGTTTATTATCACTGACATAAAAACCTCAATCCTGCTTCCATAAAAATCAGTGGTTGCTTTGTTCCTACTAAAAATAAAATTGGATCCAAACATGTTAGTCACAAAGTTTGCTAGTAGAAGTAAATACTGTGTTCATTAAGTCTCTCAGTGTTTAAAGGCAAAGTGGCAGCAAATACTGTGTGGTATAGCTTAAAGAACAGTATTATGCACAATTTTAAGTGTTATTCAAAAAAATCGAAAAGCAGCTGTGAAAAACATCTCATGGGACAGTGAATTTTATTACATGAAAATTTCTGGAACAGTAACAGACTTTTTTTGAATTAATTTCCTACACCAACACTGTCACTCATGTCACTACATCTCCATTGCACAAATTGAAGACTGGATTTTGTATGCAATATGCATCCAGACCAGCTAATCTTTAAAACTGGATAGTCAGGAGGGTCCTCCTCTTTCTACTGCATTCATTCCTAAACTCCTCTCTAGCAGAAACTGTCATGTTTCTGAATCCTTGTAGCAACCGACAAGATAAAGAGCCTAGTGTCATCCTTCATCTACTTCACTTTGCAAGTTTATCTCTGCACTTGCCCATATAATTACCCCCTGCAGATTTCAACTTTAATTCAGATTTGCGTTACACTTATTGAATAGGCCTCACAAACAGACAAAGCCTCATTAGTAGCCTGCAAAAGTGAGCCTTAATAGTTAAAACCTTGATTTAAATACCAAACAAAGGGGAAACACAGATGCTGAGACAATGTTTACATCCTCTCAACCACACCCTTGAAATTTTGGCAGTAAATTAGCCAAAGGATGCTTTTAACATCTCATCCATCTCTTTTGGTTGGGAAGGAACAGCCATAACTACAAGTTTTTGCAAGGTGCGGCTGATGCTGGGAGATGGTTGGATACATATGACCAAAGGCTGCATGCCTCACAAGTCAGAACAAAGCAGAGATGTGGTAGGAATTCAGGATTTTCTTATGCCCAGAAGTTTCCTATAGACTGGAGATAAACACAAGTTCCATTTCCCACGCAAAAAAGGAATAGTGTGTAAACCTAGCATAACACAGTATTAAGAAGAAACTAATAACTAATGATGTCAAAGCCTCTCAATTTTAAGATTCCCCAAAGTAATCTCAAAGAAAAGAAGAAAAAAAGAAAACCTGTGGACTCAGTCAATACATTTTTCAACCCAATTATACAGTAAATGCACTGGCAGGAAAGGCCTCAGTTCTGAAAAGGTGAGGGAGAAGAAGGATGGTGCAAAATGCTTTCATATATTTGAACATTCTTAGGATATAAGAAAGCAGGCAACTTGAAAACTAGAAAACATTCCTTGTAAGCTGTGTGGGATCAACACAGTTTTCTGCAGGCTTTGCTTCATCCTACAGCTCAGCTTTGCCTGTTTGGGCAGGACTGGCATTAACGCTGCCTTCTCCAGCGTTGTTCTTGTCTGCTGGCTTGAAAGATAATGAAGCAGAGTTTGTGCAGTACCGTTTGCCAGTTGGGCGAGGTCCATCATCAAAAATGTGCCCCAGGTGAGCACCACACTGCAACAAAACACAATAGAGTATCACTGTGTCTGCGTGCCCTCGCTCGGTGGCATCGCTGCGGTGTTAAGCAAGGACTAGCAGCTGCTTCCAAGGAAGCACACTGTGCCTACAGCGCCCTTTCAAGTGGGATTTACAATCCACATTTAATTGCAGGAGTGATCCAGGAAGATGATCTTCTGAGATACCACAGCTGCCAAAGACTCCAAGACAAATTTCCGGGGTGTTTCCTGTCACACCACTGCCTATGCTTGGTTGGACCACCATCTCTGAGGAGCTGCCTGTTTCTGTAATGATTTCATGGCAGGAGCACAGCTAAAAACATGGTGGTGAGGACAGCACTGCCCATGTTTCACTCACTCTGTAAGGATGCCCGTGTAAGAAAGGGACAGCCTCAGTTCTGGCCTCTCCTCAGCCTGCAACCATCTGCTACACCCCTTGGTAAAAAAAATTGAACCCTTTGGTGATCCTGATAAGGACTTAAAGCACTAAAGATATTCTTTGGAGTGTGCTCTCACACTTCTTTTTTTTCCCCTTTCTGTAACCTGGCACTCATCTGAGCATCAAGGTCCTTCTGGGTGCACTTCTTGCCCCTGGAGGGGATGGAGCTCAACCTACTCATCTCATAATAATTTCTATAGTACATACAAGATAGGGACAGGTGACTGAAAAAGACCTGTAGTGCAGATATGTAAAATATTTCTTAATTAATAATCTTTGTCTGGGAGTAATCATAAATGATGCTGAGTTTTGTTTATTGCAAGGAATATGAAAGTACAAATGGTCTGCTGCCACTTTTGCTCTGTATGAATCAGACCCAAATACTTACAGTGCTATTCAGGGTGAACACTACTGGTCTTGTCTGTAAGAAAGGTGACAGTCCTTTGCTTTATAAGGACTGCTTCACAAATAGAATATTTTGAGGAAACTAACCCTGCTGATCCTTATTCAAAAATTAAGATTACTATCACTGCACATTATGGCTGACAACTTATCCGGATAAGAACTTCTTGTAATTAGTCACTTGAATTCCACAAATTCATTTTCACAGCCTGCCATGAGAAACAAAAAACCTTGCACTGGAGAAATATTTATCTTGAACAGGAAAGTCATGCTGCTTTACCAAAGAGCCTTGGCCTTTCAAGTCAATAGCAGATCTCAGTGAGAGGTGGAATGATGTAATTGAGATCACAGACCTGCTTGTGGGCTCACAGTCAGACAGCAAAAATTAAAGACTGCAAACTATTCTTAACATTTAATTAATTCATAGTATTCCAAATAGGTAGAGGCAATAGTGACTATTCCAATCTCTGAATGAATTAGTGATGGCAAATCTCCACCCTGCAGTTAATGTGTTGCTAATGTTCTCCCGATGTTATGGCCTTTAATTCACCAAAGCAGCAGGAAAGGTGTCTGTAGAAGCACGTAAAGATTTGCCTCCAGGTTAAACTTTCTCAGTAGACTGAAAGGCTGGGGGAGGCTCTCACACCAGCTAGGTGGGACAGAAACTCTGCTCATTTAATGACAGCTGAAACAATAATCTTCACCCGCCTTCAGGAGCAGGGCAGGTAGATATGTGAAGCTTCAGTGCTCCCACCTGTTGGTTGCACCCATGCAGACACATCCCACATCCCACAGCAGGCTCCCTGCTCCTGAAGAAGTGTCACTGAGACAGCCATGGCAGTCCAGCAAGGATCCCAATAACAACCAAGGACTTCCAGCCCATGGTCTCAGCAGAATTCCCAGAGGCCATGGAAAATGGCATGCATGACTGAGTTAAGCAGCTCAGCTTTGTAAGGAAGGAAGATAAAACAAGGAAAGTAAGCAAAAATAAGTTGAATGGGACCTAGAGAAAACCAAGCTTCAAGTCTTCTTCCTGAAAGACTGCCGTCTTGCTATCCATTCCTCCATTATCCACTGCTTATCCTTTTTATAATTTTCCTTTATACTGAAGGCATTTTTTATGTTAGTGCATGCAAAAAACCTGAGCTGTTTCTGAAAGTGGGGTATCTAACAAAGAAGCATTTCACCTGAGCATAAGCATACCTCTGGGGGGGGAAAAAAAGGTAAGTGTCCCAGAGAGAGTATTTTTCTAAATGCTCAGCATCCTAATTAAATCATCTCATCTCAACTAAGAGTGCTTCAAAACCTCCTGGCTGGAAGTGTTAAACAGATCTTTTCCAGACTAACATTTAACAAAAGATAAATCATTTCCTCTCTACTGGACAGAAACAGAACAAGAGAAACTGCAGAGAGAAATGGTCTATAGAAGTAATATATTCACACACAGACTACAAAGACAATCTATCAAAAAGGTTTTCCTCACAAAACCTGAGAAGCTGTATGAGAGACCAAGGTAGTCTCATTACACCTTTTTGTGATGGCAGAATCACTTCAGGATTGAATTACTAAAAAATTTGTTACTTTTTGAGATTACCTCTCACCAAAAATTTATGTGGCGATTCTCTGTATAGGGGAGTCTATAACTCATCTGCTCTACACAGAAATGTATTTCAGTCCTTTGTATCACAGTATAAGAAACCTGGCATTCATCTGAGTGTACAAAGGATGAATTGACTTTACTGTCCTCCCCACACATAATAGCTGCTGACCATTTTCTAGGACATATATACATGTCTGCAGAGTCTCTGAAAAAGAAACAATTATCTGTTGCAGCCTTGCACATAAATATATTGGGCAGAATGAACTGGGACAGTGAAATGGTTAAAGCATTCCAAGTATGTGCTTGGGAGCAGGAAAGGGGGAGGTCACTGCTAACTGTCAGTATGCTTGGATCTCCCAAGCCTCCTGGTTCTAATATACTGCTGGGAGGCATGCAGAGCAGCTTGCAGTCAGCTGCAGTTGAGAGTCCAAATTATTGGTGTGCAAACACTACTCTTGTGACTACGGAATTTTATTGATCTGCACAGGAAAATTAGTAGGTAGGGAGACCACAGGGAAAGGGATGCTTGAACAGGACAGAGAAAAAAACGAGATGCAACCAGTTTTACAGTATTCCTCAACTGTTAATACAACTGCATTTGTATTAACTTCTACCTGTCACTAATCACTGACCTTTCAAATACACCCAGGGTGTGTTCCAAAAACTGTGAAAGTTATTTCAAGGATAATCCCATGGATGTATTTGATTAATATTACAGTGACTTTCCCCCTGTGTTTGTTTTCTATAATGAAGAACATTAAAAAGAATTATTTTATTCTCTCAGACAGGTGGGAAGGACTTTCAAAGAAAAATAAACTACTTTTTCATCTGCAAAGGATTAATAAGGCTTTGGATGTGGGAGATGGTATTTCTGTTTGGTTCTACAAGATCTGTCATATCGATCCCACTGCTTTGCAGGTTGCAGTAAAACTGCTTTTTATTTTTTTTTTTTTTAAGCTGCATATGTGATTCACACTCCAGGGGCAGATACACAATGGAGCAGTATTAGCTGTGCTGAGCACTGGCTGCAAAGATGCTCACCACCCCTCAAGCTATTTTCCTGTGTGACTTATCATCTGTGGAGTTATTACCCCAGGAATAGCTGGTAGGAAGTTGCCATTGGATTATACAGCAAATACAATCTTGGTCATATTTTCTTCTTCAAATTCAGATTTTAGTTTTGCTTTGATTTTATGGTGTCTGCATGTGACTGCTGCTAATATTGCTGGTCTCAGGTCTTTTAACCCTACTTTGTTTGGTAACAGGTAAGCGACATTCCCAGATTCCTTGGCTGACCATAGACTTCTCCAGGAGCTCTGGCCATCTCCTGAAATGTGTCAGCAGATACAAACTCAGTAAGTTGGCAAGAAGCAGATTTTAGCACTGTTCAGGCCTACTAATCAGAGCTAAAGAGACTGGACTGCATTTATGATTATGCCAGTAACCACTGCTGAAGCATGAGCTTCCCCATCTGCAGTCTCATTGCTACCTTGCTAGTGAATTTAGGGAAGTGGATATTCCCATAAAGTGTTGAAAGGATCTTCTACAGCCTATCATCTATGTAAAAACTTCAGAATGTCATAGTATACATGACAAACTAGCCTACACACTAATTTGGTCATTAACATATTGGGCCAAATGCTCTATGCGGACTGATGTTAACAGATACTCTTGACAAGTTTCTCCACTCACTCTGAGCCTTATATAATGAGGTCTGACTGACTAGTAAGGATGCATATTGTCAGGGATAAAATCACTTACCCCCCCAACAACTCTGGAAGAACAGCAAATTATCACTGCCCCATTGAAGCTGCTGCTTCTCTCAGGAGGAGTTTGAGAATGTGGAGCTAGAGGACTGCAAGCTGCTGGCTACAGCTGCTGAACACCAATGCAGCAGCTTCTCCCTTTGCTAGGTAATGATTATGCCATTCCCTTCACAGAAAGGAGAGCAGCACAAAGGATGACAGAAAGTAGAACAAGACAGATTAACGGAAAATTTGGGCATGTTTTGAATGATTACTGACTTCATTATTAGGGCAGATGGGATTATTTGAGGCAGCCATTAGGACTGTGCTGGGAATGAGTGTTGGGAACAAGTTAGCATGGATGCACAGTAATGTAGAGTGATGGAATCAGCACACAGACAGCCGCTCCACTGATTTCAACTTCTCTCAACTGCTCACATGTGGAGTCAGGACAGGCTCAGGCTCAGGAGCTCCTTTGAAGGGACCCACTTCAGGAAGACTATTTTTGTACACTCAGCACTGAGTCCAACCATTTACATCTGCTCTGTTAAATCTCACATGAGACAACAACGTGCATTCCAACAATCCCTTTGTGCCTTCAGCTCGTTCCACCCAGCTTTTATGCCTACAACCCATTGTGTTCTCTCACAATTATTACTATTTAATAGAACTGAAAGGTTTGCAAATCTCAAGGAAAGTACAGCACACTGTAATGGTTTTTGCAGCCTTTGCCATTGGAATAGTCTGTGTGTGCTATAAACTAACCTGACTGCAGGATATCTCAATCCGATGCATCCCATAGGAGAAATCATCATTGAAAGCAATTGCATCAGGACTGATCACATCATAAAAGGAAGGCCAACCTGGAAAAGAGGAACAAGATAGGTAAAAAAGAGGGCGTCGTTGTGGCAGATAGCATTGCAAAAAGCAGGAGAGAATCACACTTTGAAAAATGTTTATCTGACTTCAGAGCATGGAAATAATTAAATGGAGATTTTTTTATCCTAAATCACTTAGGTACTTTGGAAAACTTCCCCTCACCAAGTACAGTTGTTTACAGGAAAGGACTAAGCTGCCCCTAGCTGCCCAACCTCCATCTCCACAAGGATTCCTGCGCTCCACCACATGCAGTGATAGCAGTTTACCTTGGGGACAAAGGTCCCAGATAAGCCAATTCAGCTTTTACCACAAGTTAAAAAAAAAGACCCCACAAATTCCACCCTGATTATAAACAGCAAGGCTTTATGGAACATAAATGATTTTGATTTTGCAATATAAAGATACTTTAAAATATTAATTGGGAAATTGCAGTTTACAGCCCCAAAATATGCCGCAAACTTTGCCTTTCCCAAGGCAAACCCAAAAGGATGTGTTCAGACACTGAACCATCACACATTAGAGACAGTGAGATGATTATTATTGTGTCTCATGTCAAAACAGTAATGAGTGCTTCCAATCAGACATGGACAGGTGGAACCATAACTATGCCTGTGTTAGACACTAGTGGATGATCTGCATGTGGTCTGCATTCAGGATAAAACAACTGCACTCACTAATGTACATGTACAAAGCAGCTGATAGCTGAGCACTGAGCTGCATGACCTGACACCAGATTATCATATGTGTACCTGACCTACCAGTAATGGCCACTTACCAAAAAAATGACCTTCCACTCTTTAACTATTCCACACAAAGTCTCCCACTCTCCACAACACAGGTAAACAACAAGGCAGTGGTGACCCAGAAGATACCCATTACATAGTAACTTCTCAGCTACTCCTCAAAAGCCATCATAATGCTCCGTTTCCTGAAGCAGGGTTCCCACATCAGCAACTGACAGGCTTTAAGGTCATGTCAGCACCTACCAGTGTCCACCTGAAATCTCACCTGCTATCTGTCCTCCTAATTTAGTCTCTTGCCAAATACAACATGCCCAGGCACCTCTTGCTCTCTCCCTGTACTACCTATATGCCAAGAATATGCCCAAGAATAAAGAATTTCCTAGTTTCTCGTCCTAATATTTGTTGAGCATTTGCTACTGATGATTTCATAAAATGACTTGCAATAAGCAATTAAGAAACACAGCAGTAGCTGTGAATCACTGCATGCAGATGAATGAAGGGTGTATACAGCTCTCCATAAGAAAAGTAAGTAAAATTTTCTGTACCAGTAAAAAGAGAGTGGAAAGTATCAACTTTTCCAAATGCGAGAAGAGAAAATGTGTAAACTGGAAAAAGACCCATATGTCTTCAGTTGTATCCGAGATTATTAAACAGGGAAGAAGATTTATTAGGATGCAAGCATAACAAGAATTTTTTTTAAACAAGGAAATGCTCAGAAATGTGTTTCTCCTCCTTTTTGGAACACACATATAGTAGCATTTCTAAGCTACCTGAAGGCATTGCAAGTCATAAGTTGTAAGCTCACAAGGTGCCTCCTACCATCACAATTGTTTCCACCCCAGAACTTCCTGCAGAAACAACAAGAGTCATTGCCCTCTCTCCAATTATTACAAATGGAAGAGTTACAGATAGCAGGTAGACTGAGGAGCATGCACCCTGAGCAGGGAAAATATCCCTCAAAAACAGGAATCAAAACAATACTGCAATGCTAACTGTAAAAAAACAATTTATAAATCCTTCCCCTCATGCAAAATGTTGCTGTCAAACAACCACCATCACAAACAGAAAAGGAGTAAACATATGACAAGTTTTGTAAAAGGGGTTATCCTGTTGACAGAAAAACTGATGTTTCCTAATTGGTGGCTCTTTTCCAACATCATTTGTCATCTTCTTAGCTGGGCCTCTGTCTCATGAAAATTGAGCTAGTCAGAATATTTTTAATGAAGCCTTTTTTGTTTGTTTGTTTTTTTATTTAATAATTTTGCCAAGCAGACATACCAGTTTGCCCTTGTGTGATGGCAAAGGAGTTTCAAAGAGAGAGTTCTTTGCAACAGCCATCTGATCATGTGAAAGACTTTAGAGAAGGCAAAATTCAGGGCTGCAGAAATTCTCAAAGAAAACCATGCCTCCTTCATTATAGCAATGAGGGGGAAGCTTCAAAGACTGCAGCACAGAGATTGAAGCAATCTGTGTTTTGCTGAGAAAATTATCTTGTGAGAAGAGTTTGGAAGAGATGTATTTATGTCAGCTTTGACATTAAGAAAGACTATCCATCCTTCTTTCTCTGGACTTCTCCTTTTGGTCTTCCCATTCACCAGAGAAAAATTATTTGCTTTGGATGCAGTCCATACACTTCTAAAAATGAAGTCATCTGAAACCTATATAAACAGGCAAGCTTCTCCTAAAGTAGTCTTTGTACCCAACCGGAGTGACTTCAGATTAGACTGTCAGTTCATGCTACATATGACACATGTTCCAAAGGCTCCACCACTGCCACATATGGTCCCCAAGAGAGGGACTAGGAAACAGACCTCCACAGTGTGTATTTTAAACTCCCTGCTAAGCTATCTCTTCTCGAGTTACATGGCAGGCCAGGCACCAGCACTCCCAGGACAAACCACTCTGTGAGGGTTAACTGAAAACTGAGCAAACCTTGGAACAGAAAATGTCCTGAAGGGCACAGTGACACATACTATCATTCTGTTGACCTTGAGAGGAAGATGAGTGAATTGCTCATTGAACTGATGAGCCAGACTGACCAGAAAATCAATCCCCTTTTGCAATCTCATTTCCTCTCCTGAGGTAGAGTGGAAAACCCATCTGATAGTTTGCTAAGCCTTCTTGCACCATTTTGTCTACTTCAAAAGCTGCCAGGAACAAGCTGTAGCAGCAGTAGTCTGCTTGCCTGCATACCAGGCACCTCCCAGCGGTGCAGAAAGCCAGCCTTAAAACTTCTGTCTATATAAGAGGTAAATGGCCCAGCAGTGGCCTCCACCTTGCAGGGCCCAGGCCACTTCACCTGTCTCCCTGGCTGCAGCCCCTCCACTCCTGCCCTCCTGCCTCCTTCCTGCTGTAAGGCTGCAAAATGATTGGCTACCTTTACATTTTAGGCTGCTCTAAGCTGTCCATTAAATCTTCACCTTTGAAGGCTGTCTGGCTACTTGTTAAGGGCATGCTCCTGTAGGGATAGTGGTGAAGATGACAATTTTGGATATCTTGTGCTTCTGCTAAGCTGAGAGAAACAGTAACCCTTATCACTTCAGAGGCTGAGCAGTGGTGGAGATCCTTTGCAAACCCTGGTTCCAAGACTCAACCCCGCTTTGGTGATGGCCCTCTGTCAAGTCTAGCCCACATCTGATGGGCAGCAGGAGCTGGGCCATCCTTTTGAAGGATGGTTAAACATACCAGCTAGGAGGAAATAGCCTCTGGAAAGGGGCAAAGGGTAATTGCAAGATAGAGGATGAAGATGGGAGGAGTTTACCAGATGAATGAACAACTTCAAATGACATTCACACTTTTCTGTGTGTGAGCAGCAACTAAGATTTGTGAATACATTTATCCTTGAATGCAAAGTTTAGTTAGAGGGGCAGTATGACACAGTAATCACCAGCAATTTTTATTGTGTTATAGACATTTTAAATGGGTTCATTCTTGGATTCACAGACACTTTGCACCACACTGGCAATAAAAACAGGATTTAAAATAGGAGTCTGTCATGTTTGTGTTCTCTCCAATAACCCTTTGCATGGGAGTCAGGCCACTATGTCCAAAGAGCCAGTTTCTGGTAAGTTAATAAGCAAGCCACAAGAGATGAGTAGTTTTTCAAATATACAGCAATTATAATTTCTCAGATCTAAAATACACTTAATAAAGCAAGGAAACTTTCTTCTGTCAAGTATTTAAGTGAAAAGCATGTGTAAACTGAATATTACTGATAGATCTTTTCCGCTCCATCCTGCATGAGTAACAGAGAGGATCTTATGCTGCTGGGAGTCATACATAGACATAGACATAGTCATAGTCATAGTCATAGCCATAGTCATGTCCTATTCTTTCTCTTTCTAGGACAGCCCCTAAATATTTTGTAAAAGCTATGCAGCATTTCTAAAATTCACTCTACATGCCCTCACTAAATCTGAGTCTTTTGTGTTTTATAATGCTTTCCCTACTCTGAAAAAGAGGAGACAATGATTTATGCCGCTTTGTCAAAGAATGCTTTCTTGCTTGGTACTGCCCTGGGCAGCAATACGGAAGGATAGGGAGGAACAGAAACGTTGAGTCTGGAAACAAATGCCTCATGCTGCTTTTGCCACTGGGCAGAGGGCTTAAAATGATTCAGAAGAGGCCATCTTCTTTCTCACTTCCAGACCTCCTATTCCAGGTACCTGACTGAGTCTGTATTTCTAATAAGCTACTCACGGTAGGCACTGGGCAGCTGGCAGAAGGTGGGTACCAGGTGGGACACAGCAGTCCCAGTGCCCAAACTGAACAGTCAAACTGAGATGCCGTATAATGCCAGAGGAAGGCAGCAAGCACAATGTGCCCATAGTCCAGCCCCTGTTTTGTGTTCCTGATACAAATATGAAACCCCAGCAGGAGTACATTGTTTCTTTCACATTAATCCAGGAAGCTCCAAAGACTCTTATCTTGTGGGCTACTCCAGGATGATTTCTTGGGGCAATTCTGACCTCATGCAAAAAAAGAAAGACATTTTGTTCTCATAAACTTTTGGAAAGTAGTCCAGTTGCTGATTGATTGATCAATTTTAGAAGTGTCTCAAACCTCCTTCCAGTTTTGCAAGTTTGCACACATTTTATTGTAGCTAGATCTCCAACTTCCTAGTAGATGGATGCAAGCACTTAGACATCTAACTGTTAGGATTGAGCCTCTATAATTATTTGCAGAAGCAAAATGGCAGGTTGCTTTTGACAATCAGCCCTGCTAGGTTATTTTTCCCCCCT